CAGCTAGTCGTGCCAGCACAGGAGAAGAACGAGGCAACGCCAGACCAAGTAAAGGCGCGATTTTCGCTCTCTGACGACCCTGGAGCACCAACTGCTCCACGATTGATGCCTTGGCACTCCTCTCGATTCTTGGAAGTGGAAGTGGCTCCCCATACTCTTTTCTGTTTTTGAGGAATGAACACAGTGGCTGGCTGCTTGGCTGTTGGCTGAGTGAGGCCAGTATGTCTCTCTTATAGGCAGTGGGAGAGAGGGAGAGGGGTGTGTAGTGGCAGGCAATACATGTATTAGTATGGTGGGGTCTCAAATGGGGAATTTTGAAAAGGATTCCGACCAAGCAGCCTGCATGCCTGCCTGATTCTCAACCAAGGAGATCCCACCTTCTATTTATCAAATGCCCCAAGCGCTTTCTTAACTCCCTATCTCTCTCTCTCTCTCTCACATTCAAAACACACACACACTCTCTCTCTCACACATTCAAAACACTCTCTCTCTCTCTCACATTCAAAACACACACACACACACTCTCTCTCTCTCACACATTCAAAACACACACACTCCCTCTCTCTCACATTCAAAACACACACACTCTCTCTCTCTCAAACTGTCTCTTAACCCTCCCTTTTCTTTTTTCTTTTTGTTCTTTTTTTTTTTTAACACCAGTTTATTGCCTTTTATTTATTAAAAGAACCTCTCTCTCTCCCTCAAACTCTCTTACCCCCATCTCTTTTTTTCTTTTTTTTTAACTGCACTTTATGACTTCTTATTTATTAAAGAAAGGGTGCGGTTTGTATAGAGCCTACGCTCTAAACAATCAAATTAGAGCCCCTACCTTCAAATAGTGTCGAGAAATGTTGGTTTCAATACTGAAAATATTTGTAATAGCCTAAAAATATTTTTTTCATCTTTATTTATAAACATTTAAGCTTCAAAAATAGTGTAGATCAACATATCTATGAAAACTTGAAAATCTTGAAAATTGACGGTCTAAAAATGTATTACAAGATGTATTATTTTTAAAACTTGAAATTTATTTTTTTCATGTCCATGAATTTTGATGTCAAGATGATCAATTTGAACATCAAAACAACCTCTTGTAGTGAAATGTTTGAGGTAGGCTCTAATTTAATTGTTTAGAGAAAAGGTGTTATGTGAAAAGCGGACACCCCAACCTGCTTACTCATAAACATCCATCCTTAAGATAAATCTCAACAACTAAAGATTTCTATCCAATGGTTGTGAAATAATTCTACAAAAAAATATGAAATTTTTTTTTTGTATTTTATTTTAATTTTTATACTATGATGATCATAGTGTAGATTTTGGATCTCTACAAATTTGGATCCAAGATCTATATGAAAGATGGGTGCTAGAGGGAGCCTACACGAGAGTAGTATTAGTTGGGTGACTCATAAAAACTGGGTCCTTTATTAAATAAAAAGAGGGCACAAAGAGTTACAAAAGAGTGTAAGAAAAATTAGGGACCACCCACGAGAGTTGATGAGGACCTCATTTGACCAGACATTATTCTTTATTCTGGCCTCCCTGAAAAAGTGATGTAAAATACTGACCATCAATGTAAACTTTGACACTGTAAAGCATTTTTACATGGTTTGAGAAATTATATTTTAGGCTTTGAACGCACCATATTCATATCTATCCAATTTTACATCTAATAGTTAAGAATGATTAAAACTTCTTTATATCCATGCATCTCATCAAAATGGATGGTATTTGGGCTAAAAAAAAGCACTTCCGTAGATGCATTTTCCAATTTAATTGTATACAATTAGACCATTTATTTCTTGTACGAGGAAGTCACAATTATTTATAACTATCCGATGTCAAATTTGATATCACAAAGTTCGAGACAATTTTTTTTTAACTAAAATAATTGGTCAAGATTAATTTTGAGCACCTTGATCTCAAGATAAATGGTCTCATTGTATACTTTTCCTTTACAAATTGTACTTTTTTTTGTAATTGTTCAATATAATGAAAAGCATTTATATTTAAAATTTACAGTCAAAAGAATGGCTCTAACATGGTTTTTAAAATTGTTTCATTATATTACTGTTGAACTGTTGCATAAATTAGTCCCCTATATATTAACTCAATAAATTCTAGATCCATCTTTAAGATGGACTAAGATTTTGGAAGGGAGACCACATATAAACAAGTGTTTCAATTTTCAACTTACTCAAGGAAACCTCATCCTTATTTGTAAGGAAAAAGTCCATGTAAACTGTCAGCCTTATAGTATTGAAGCAAGGTTGACCTCAAAAATCGTCTAGCCTTATAGTATTGAAGCAAGGTTGACCTCAAAAATCGTCTAGAAGAGAGTATTTTGATGAGATAAAACCCTCCAATTGATCATCTCGACCTCAAGATGTCTAGATCGAAAAAAAAATTTGAAGTTATAAAAATATTTCATCTTGTAACTAATTATTTGAACCATCTATTTTCAAGATTTCCAAATATTTAAAGATCCATTCAATCTCTACAATTTTGGAAGTTTAAATATTATAAGTAGGAATGAAAATGTATTTTCAAATTTTCATAAGGTTTCTGACGGACAAAATTTAGAGGTACGCCTTACTTCTAGAGGAAGACGCCTTACAACCCCATATATAAACAGGTACCATAAATATCAAGCGTCAATGACGGATGGTTGAGGTCATCAGTCCTCTGAACCACAACTACCACTTTCATGGAGTGGGCAATTATCTTAGAGCCATTTATTCCCAAGTTTAGCAACTATACAACACACTATTACAGGTAATTAGAATGGAAGCAAGACACACCTTCGGCGCCCATTATCCTAGACAGATGCAATTACAAATGACTGGATTTGAAGCATAGTTACCAAGTCTCCGTTTTTTTTAAATACAGTTAGAATTGAGTTTTTCAAAAGATCTTAAAAAATTTGTGTTTTTTTTTAATGGAATTGATATAAATCCATATTTTATGTTTTTCAAAAAAGATTTTCAAAAAAACTTCTTCCCTATAATTTTATTTCATAGAAAAAGTTTATATAAAAATGCTACCTTATAATGTAGAACTACGGATGCCACTAAAAAATCCATCAGAAAAGGTGGTTTTAATGTTGAAAAACCCTTTGATTGATCATCTTGACATCGAGATGTATGACTATGAAAATGAAAAGATTTTAAGTTTAAAAAATAGTGCATTTTACAACATATTATCTACACCGTCCATTTTCAAGATTTTCATTTGTTAATATATCTACTTGATTTTAACCATTTTTTAAATTTAAAATTTTATAATTAGATATAAAAATAGATTTTGAGATAATCCTAAAAACATTTTACATCAAAATTATATACCATTATAAAATTTGAAGGTGCACCTTACCTCCACACCTACTGATGCATTCGTATGCAAACTGCACCCTTTCTTCATTAATGTAATCTTATTGAAGTTTGGTTAAAAGATAAGTATATTAACAATAGGAGTAAATTAAGAATCTTGATTTAACAAAAAAATTTCATAAAATATTTTACCAATGAGTTCCCTTAAAAATAATGTACGAAAAAATAGAAACAATATATTTCTAAAAAAAAAAGTAATTAAAATAATCGTATATCTTAAAGTAATAGGAAGAATTAAAAAAAGAGCAACATAATGAAAAATCTTTTTTCTTTTCTTTAAACCCATAGCGTCCTTAGAAAGAGCAAGAGAGAGATTCAATGATACTAAAGATTTAAATGGCTCGGAATTTAGTGCGAGGTTCAAACTTTCTTAAACATTTTTTTGTTTTTCTATACACGTAGAAGTTTGATTAATTTCATTTTTTTATTTTTTATTTCTGTTTTTTATAGGTGTACACAAGATAGCATTTTGGATGGACCACTACTTTATATATTTTGGTCTTTACATCTTTTTTTTAATTAGCTACAATCGGGCTTTTTGTTTTCTATGAAATGTAATTCTATACCTTGGTTCAGAGTTTTTGTTAATTACTAATTAGTTCTTGTGATTAGTATTGTTGTTTCATTTTGTGCTCCTAATAAATCTACGATATGTTTTATGATGTGACAACAAAATACGCATTGTTGCTGGATTTATTGAAAGTTTTAATAAAAATTATTAATTATTGCTCTAATGACACTAGTAAGACTATAAAATTATAGGAAAATTTCGTATAAAACCCTAATTCTGTATTATTTCATGGTTGACCATATTTCTGTTTTTTTTCAAGCAGCATAAAAAAATCCCTAAAGATTTCACCATACCCCCTTATCTCTTATCTTCTCTGTTTTATTGACTTTTTATTGACTTTTGACCATAAAAATTAACCCCAACAAATTTTTTTATACCATTTCATTCCAAAACCTTTTTAACTTTCTTTTACCCTTTTCACCCATTAAAAAAGTTTTTGAATTGAAATGGTATAAAACAATTTGTTTGAGCTAATTTTTATGATAAAAAGTCAATAAAAGAGAGAGATAAGAGATGAACAGGTTTAATAAAATCTTTAAGGGTTTTTTTGATGCCGATTGAAAGAAAAACAAAAAAAAAATCTACCATGAATAATACAAGGAATTAAAATTCTATACGAAATTTCCTCTAAAATTATTGTTTAATGGCTTTAGTATATCTATATAATAGCTGCAAATCATAATCATATATTGTTATCTTCACATAATTGATTTTTTTCGCTACATTTATTTAAAGTTCAAATCCAAAATATTCACGATTCTATAGCTCACCTTAATTTTTGACGGTATTTTTTGCCCAATTTCCTACTCTATGAAATAAAATCGATTTGTTACTGATGTTGTTTTGGTATGCCAATATTTTATTATTCCCCGATTTGCTAACTAGGATTTGATTCCGATTTGCTAACTAGGATTTGAAGGGGCTAGCAAAAAGAAAGACTAACAAACAATTCAAACAAGCCACATTTTTCAGCAAATTGAAACTAATTAAATTGAAACTAATTACTAAAGAGTCTGAGATTATTTATCTAGGTAAATGAATAAACGATGAAGCACGAGTGTCAGAAAATAAAGACCTGTCACTCCATTCAGTCCCTTTCATTCGATAATCAAGGTCATATAGAAGACACAAGTGAACAAATCAAGGCAATTCGTATCTCCACAAATAATACATAATAGATATTGTATGCAGCGATTGAGATGCAATGAGCACGACATGGATCGCCAAAGGAACTCTCAAACTTCCAAAGAATGTGATACCACAGTGAAGGCCTCCAGTTCACTTTTCGGTGCCAAGTGAAAGCATATTCTCCTTGTGCAAACATGGAATGCAAAATCCTTCACCACTATACAACAACACTGCAACTCTTTTAACAAAGTGGGAATGTTCAAAACACTTCAGCCACCTTGTTTGCAAGAACACGCTCACGTCTTTCCACATAGTCAGATGGGAACCAACCAGCCTTCCCCTTGCATTCCCCCTCTGCCCAGCCAGTACGAGTGACCTGCCACAACAAAGTCGGACATGGATCAAACACAAGCTGAAACATCACAGGCAAACAATTAAATCAACCTCATCCAAGTTCATGACATTCATCCAGAAAGTAGATAATTATATAACTAGTTCTACTTGACAGAATAATGAGAAACCCAGAGTATCTAAGTGAGCCAATTACAAGAACATCTAGGGGCATCCATCGAAGGAAAATAACTCATGAATCAGATCAGGCAATAGGTACCATCCACTTAAAATAATGTCATGGAAGATAATTATATGACTGATTGGACAAGTACATCGGAAGCTATGCATGCATCTGCATCTAACAGTTACTCCTTTACATCTGAGCTTTTTCTGGGTTTCTTGAGGTAACTTTCCAAATGGGAGAAGGATAATACAGTGAAACAACGATTTGCGAGAGCTCACTATGAATCTATGATGGTATTCTAGTATGGTAAATGTCACCACCATGACATGTAGTCTGGTCTCCGTTAAGGAAACCTTCAACCATACTTGTTGGTCACTCATTAGGGACATACAAAATTATCCCAACAATCAACTGGCGCCTTAGATGAGGCCTATTTCCAGATAATATCTTGTAGGAGTTCCATGTAACTCAGGAAAGCCGACAGAGAGCGTACTAAAAGGTCCAAGAATAAGGTTTCATGTATCTTGAATAATTATGGAATTGAAAGCATGAGGATATAAAAGAAACCTATGCCGTGAGGCATGAGCTTGCCATGTTTTACGCCTGTGGTCTTTTGCAAACCTAGGGTCCCTATGATCAGTTAATTGGCTTCAAGGGTGTTGCATGTATCTCAACCATCTGTCGGTTTTAAAGGCCTAGACGATGCTCCACATTACTTGTCATTTTTTATTCTTTCATTGCTTTTCTTTTTTCCCATTTTTTGGCAATGGAGGCATAGTTACTGAGGCTAGAAACTGTACATGTGCTAGCCCATGACATCAAAAACACCAATCTGAGAGCACTATCTCTACTGCTCCATTTCTGTTCTTAATAAAGTATTATCTTTAAGATCAATCACTATTCAATCCTTTTAGAAATTATGTAATGAATATTCCACACCATGCAATTAATTTCTCAATATATATTTTCTTTGATGAATATATATTTCTTTTACAATCTTTCACACCACCCAATTACAACCTGATAATTCATTTGCACAAAACCTTTTCTATATAACAAGTGTGTTAATCTAATTTGCATTAAAGATGCAATCACACACTTCACGCCCTTGAGCTCCAAACAAGATTGACTCTGGACTGGAGCATCTATGAGGTCTTACACTCAATGTTCCAGCAAGTGTTGTCAACCATTAGTTCCAGACCTCAGTTTCAACTACAAAGATAATATAAGATAAAACCATGGCCATGGACTACCCAAAGCAATGAGTACATAATAGCACAGAGTTTCTAGTTTCTAGTGATTATAAACATATATATTAGATCTGAAATAAAAGACCATATCTCAGTAAATCAGGGTACAAAATGCAAATGGTCTAGAAATGCTGGTGTTTCCACTCCAAACCACCAATAGCTAATAAAGCAAACTTAGCTATTGTAAAATAAAGCTCTAAAAAATGGTGCAATGTGTGGAATGGACTACGCCTGCTATCCCATGCCTCCTCCTCCAAGCCGAATTGACCACATCTTCCTAAAATAATCAATGGCTCTCTCTTTCCTCTCTCCCTTCTTATCGTTTTCCTCCTCCTAAGGGGAAAGTAGTTTCTCAGGTTTACTCCATACCTGCCACTAACATAGGTGCCCCTAATCCCATTAAGCCACCCCGTCCACTCAAAACCCACCTCCTCAGCAGCTAATCCTCTGTGGAATGGACTGCACCTGCTCTCCCATGCTCCAAGCCTAATCGACTGCATCTTCCTAAAATAATCAACTGCACTCTTTTCCCTCTCTTCTCTGGTTAACCCTTCTTATCGTTTTCCCCCTTTCCAGGTGAAAATAGCTTCTCAGGTGTAGTCCATGCCTGCCACTAACATAGGTGCCCCTAATCCCATTAAGCCACCCTGTCCACTCGAAACCCACCTCCTCAGCAGCTAATCCTCCTCCTCCTCCCCCCTACACAATAAATATATTAACCTCATTAAATCCACACCCAAAACCCCAGCTACCCAACCCATCCCCCGTGTCACCCCTCCAAACCCCCCAACCCGCTTCTTTCCACTGCCTACTTCCGGTTTGACGTCCCACCCCTGTCCTGAACCGGCCATACCAGTCCAAGTACAGCACTAAAATCTCCCACATCCAGCCTCATTGTTAAGAGTCTGCGGCTCCTCCAACAGACTCTCATTCCTGGCCATCTCTTCCAAAGGAAAGTTAAGGTCCTATAGAACTCTGTCATCGCTAGATTCTCCCCACCTAGACATAACTCGAGGGCCATCCAAAAGTGGGTTTCACCAATATCCAATTCCAAGCTCATCACACCTTCCCCTCCATGATGGCCATCATATGTTTCTTTCCCTTATCATAAACTATGTGAAGCAGCTGCCCTATCCAAAGGCCTATCCTTCAAAAAAGGTAACTCAGCCTCTGCCCTTGGAGCCCAGACTTCGTTATTGTTCGTCCCCAATGCTTGTAGATCCATGTCCATGGGATCCTTGTCCATATGTGCCACACTGCTTCTTCCAAGCCATTTGAGATCTCAGCAGGGGCTTCCTAAGATTAGCGCTAAAGGACCGCCATCTCTTCCTTTGGGGTCTTTCTCCATCCTCATCCTATCTTCTTTCTTGAAGGCCATAACAAAATCGCTTAGCATCTCTCTCGAAAAATACTCCTACACCATCTCCATTGATCCCTAGCCCACGAGCACCATCCCACTATAGTCTAGGATCAACATCCTAATCCTCAATACTACGACCCTTTGTCGGTTCACATCCCGCGGCGAACCACAGTGGTGCAAAGGTACCATAGTAGCCATATGGACAATGGTCTCCATAATAGGCTCTAGATACGTGGTCCTTCCGATGGCCCTGATGCTTGCCATCCTCCCACCTTGTGACTCATGCCACCTGTCAATCCATATGAGGCCGCCTTTAAAGAGGGCCTTTAAATTCCATCAGCCTTTAGCCAGCTCTCCACCATGCACTAATGAAGTGGACTCTTCCACCTACACTTGTCACACCCTTTCGACCCTCCTCTTCTCCCCTTAATCTGTCTCCTGTCACCCCTTCCCCTCCCTTGCCCCTTCTTGAGATGCAATTGCATCATCTCACCTCCCTTGAGATAATCATCATTCCCCACCACCTCTGTCCTCATTTCCCCGACCTGTTAATGATGGAAGTGTCATTAATGAAGGCTTGGACCTCAAAGTCTTGTCCTCCCCCATCTAACCCACAATATCTCCTCCCTTCATCTCCTCCTGACACTTGGAGACTTGCATGTCCAGATGCCACCCTCTACACTCCTTCACGTGGACCCTTCTTCGATTCCTACGTCCCCTGCTCCAAATCTCCTCGAGCCCCTCTCTTTTCTAGGTGTATTCAATGCAAACTCCCTCAAATCTTCCCCGCATTCAACTGTTGGCACAGATTGACACCCCCCTCCTTTCCCCTCAAAACCTCTATGCTACCATCCTACTCGCCATTTCCACAACCTCCTTTTTTCCCTGTTATTCTTTACCCCACGGTGTAACTCCCTTCCTCTTCGACCGGCTTCCTCTCCTCCACCCCTCTTACACTTCCAAGCCGACCTCCACCGTGGACTCTAACCTTTGGCCCTCTCCACCCAACCCTCTCCCCTCTCTTCCTCCCTTCCAAATGCCTTTGCGCCCCTTATGGCCATCCCATCCTGCATTTTTGCTTCTCTAGAATCAACTAACCTTCCCCCCCCTCCCCCCCCCCCCAACAACCAAACCTTACTTTGTTTCCATTCCTTTTCCCTACCCCCAACCTTCCAAAACTCCATTGAACCCTCATGGTGCAACTCACTACTTCCCTTCCCTCTGGACCTAGCCTTAGTCATTTCAAACTTCCATCTTTTAGGAGGCTTCCTTTCCCCTTGCATCATCCCACGTAATAATCCCTCTCCTCCTCCACCTTTAAACATTCCCCTCCCCATAATGCCTTCCCCATCTCTTCTATCTAACTCATTGTTGCTGGTTATCATGGGGATGTTAATGGAGTTCCTCGTGGTGCTGTTAATGAAGGTTCTTTTAATGTTGTATCTTTTATTATTAAGGATGTTGTTGGTTCTTCTTTTAGTAAAAATGTCCTTGGAGCTATTTCTGGTTGTAATGATGAGGAGTTTCCCCCTTTTATGCTCATCGAAGTTAACTTAGATGAATGCTGCCGCTCTGAGCAGTTGTTGGGGTTTTGGCAAGTATACAGACTTGTTATTTAGAGCACTATTCCGAATGGGGTTTTCTATTTTGCTGATCTTGAGGTGACCCCAACTGAGACCATTGATGGTAGATGCTACGTGAAGATAGAAAAAGAACTGGTGGATTCGTGTTTGAACAGATGGGATAATTGCTTATTGGGTTATTTTTTGGGGTGCAAACCCGAGTGGACATACATGAAAGGTATGTTGCAAAAGATGTGGAGATTGAAGCATGATCTTGAAGTCTTCTATGGTGATGAAGGTTTTCCAATTTTTCGATTTCCTTCTAAAGAGGATATGGTGTTAGCTCGTATTGGTGGCCCATGGTTCGTTAACAAAAAGTGCCTAGTACTCCAGAAATGGGATCCCTTTGCCCAACCCTCTCGACATACTCCCGAATTTACCTTCGGTGTTTTGGGAACCTAAGATCTTGTTTTGTATCTCATCCAATGTGGTTAAACCCATCTTTATGGATAAGCCTACGAAAATGAGATCAAGAGCTGAACCTAATGTTTGTGCTGCAAGGGACTTCAATAATTTATGTTTAAAAGAGGTTTGGTTCGAAATTAAAGCGAAAGAATATAAACAACAAATTTATTTATGAGTTTATCCCCTCAACTTGTTCCAAATTTCGAAGGGTGGGTCACAAAT